CCAGGCGGGTCTCGAACCTGTGGGCTCAGGCAATCCACTCACCTCAGCCTCCCAAAGGCGGGGATTACAGGCTGAGCCACCGAGCCTGGCCGCCTTGGTTCTCTTTAAAGACATGTGCCATCCACACCTTCTCCTTTCCCCCAAAGCCCAGGGAAGGACACAGGGCTTGTCTGAAATGCAGTGTCCAATCCACCCTGGGCCTGTTGAGTCAGATCCCTCACTTTACAGATGGAGAAACTGAGGCCAGGAGAGAGTCTAAATAGAGCTGATTTGGGCCCGATAATACCAACTATGGAGTTGACAACAAGGAATCATGCTTTGTGTTTCTCCTTCCCTCCGTGTGAGGCTCAGACAGGTCTTCCTAAACGTTCTTATTCTCAAGCTCCTGAGAATAGGGAGCCTTTTCAAGAAGCCAGGAGAAAGGGGGGCCTTCAATTCCCTGGCTACCACCATGTGCCGGTCACATTGCTGGGGAGACTGAGAAAGATGGGAAAAGGGTGGCCGGGTCTGCTGGAGAGCCTTGACTTATTCCACACAGCTGGGCGACCCTGGGGCAAGGCACTTAACCTCTCTGGGCCACTACTGTGCTGACAGAAGCAACAGCTCCGCCTGCATCAAGTGACCATGAGGAGGATGTGCACCGAGACCAAAAAAGGCCCAGAGGGAGGCTGGAGGCTTCCTTAAAGGAGAGTCTCTGGGTCCCAAACCTGGGCCATTCTGGTCCAGCCCAGCCACGCCCACCACAGGTAAGCCACATCCGCCCTAGGTAAGTCACAAATGTCAACTCCTTGAGTCCTCACAGTATCCCTGCTAAGGAGGAACTCTCAGGATTCCAATTTACAGATGGGGAAGCTGGGGCACAGAGCAGCACCAGGACATGGCCGCCTGACTTCTGAGTCCTGTGTTCTTAACCTTTAGGTTCAAGGTTGCCTCATACATCCCCGTGATGCATTAGGACAGAAAGAGCTGGGCCCTCATCCAGGGAGCAGCCTGAGAGGGTCACTCACCGTTTTTGTCTGCACGGCGGAAAATCTGCAGAAAAGAGAGGCTGAGTCAGCTCTGGGCGGGGGGTAGGCAGGTGCCTTCCAGAGGTTTCTGAGTGGATACTGAGATCCCTCTCCTGCTCAGGAGCAGCCCAGAGGCTGGGGAAGCCCAGCGCCCCCTCCCCACCCGGCTTCTCCCCTTCCCTTGGGATGAGGCGGGGGCAGGGTTTCAGGCAGAGGCCCTCCCTGACACCCCCTCCCTTCCGTGTCACCAGCCTGCCCCCGGCCACACCGACAGACACACAAGCCTGCACATGCACACCCATGCGCGTCCCTGCAGGTGGACATCCGCAGTCAGCAGGCCACGCAGTGTCCCCCACAGCCGAATGCACAGTCGCACACAACCATGCTCAGGGCTGAAGTCCCATGGAGGGCCACGCCCTCAGCCACCACCCTCCGCCCAGAACCCCTCGGGTATTCCCAGCAGGGTGGACGGAAATGTCTGCAAGGTTGGGTGGTGGGGCCAGCCGTGGGCAGGTCTGCACTGTTTCTGAGTGGGAGAGGTGGTCAGGCCACCAGGAGCTTGGAAGACCGGCTGCGGGCAAGGTTCTGGGACACTGCCAGCCTGAACTTCCTGATCAGTCACACCTTCTTCTCCCATCTCTCCAGTGACACCCGGGGCAGTCTCTCAAGGTCAGGTGGTGGCAGGTGCTGGCGGCCAGGCTGAGGCGCCAAGGCAGTCTGGTAACCCCCTGCGCCCGAGGTGAGGCTCTGAATGATTGAATCAGCTGTCGGAGGCCCATCCATGTGTCACTGCTTCTGAAGCTGCTGGGTACACTTGATGGCGACACCTGTGTGTGAGGACCTAGCTACTCACAGGAGGCTCAAGGTCCTGCGGGGGCCTGAAATGCAGTGTCCGGACCCATCCTGGGCCCCTGGAGCCAGACCCTGCACTGTAACCAGACACCCACGGGATTGGTTCCCCAGCACATTGAAGTCTGAGAAGGGCTCCAGGGCGTGGGGCGGCCCCCACTCCAGTCTAATTGGCTTACTTTAGCCAGGAGGACATGTTCCTGGGGTGGGGGGAACATGCCCGACTCCCATGTTTTCCTGGACACCAGAGAGGTCTGAGGGCCACCAGGTAAGCCACCCAGGTAGAGCCAATCCCTCCAACCATCCCACCTTTGGTCCTCGGCCTGGGGCAATGGACAGATGCCCTCCACCCCTCCCCCCAAGCAAGGGGCAGGGGCACCCCAGCCATTATCAGGCATTGGGACTGGTCAGACTGAGGCAGCAGCTAGGGCAGGTCGCCCACGCCTTGCCCCTCTCCCGCAGCCCTGCTCCTGGCTGGGCGAGGTTCCTCGAGGCTGAGGTCCCCACCTGGGTAGCCCAGACCCCCAAGGTCTGGCACCAGGCAAGCGCCTGCTCTGGGCCAACTGTTAAACGTATGAATGACATGGCATGGGGGACACCAGGTGACGTCAGCTCCAGGAGTCTACACCAGCACCCCCCCATCACCCCATTTGGCAGGTGGGGGAATGGAGACTCAGAGCCCGCACATGGCCAGGCCAGTGGGAGGAGGACCCTGGAGCCCCTAGAGCGGGAGGGGGTGGCAGGGCGGGCCTGGGTCTTCAGGGGCTCAGCTGGGGAACTCAGCTGGGGCCTGAGAGAGTGTAGCTGCACAGGTGTGTGTCTGGCTGTAAGTGTGTGTGTGTGCACAAGAGTGTGTGTGACAGTACGTGTGTGCACGCACATGTGTGTGTGTGTCTGGAGCCCTAGGACTTCTCCAGACCTGTCTGTCAGTTCCAGGGGCGGAGAAGAAGGGGAAATCCAGGCTCCCCCAAGGAAGGTGAGGTACACATGCGCTCACACACTCACAACAGCACACCCACAACTCTCCCAGAAACCCACGACACACAGGCAGAGGCAGCCCCAGTCCCGCACCCACAGGACCCTCGCCAGGACACACGTCCACACCCCAGGAAGCCTCACTCACCCTCACTCACCCCCCCAGCGCCCCCCACTGGGAGAAGTCTCCCACCCCCAAGCCACACCCCTGAGAATGCCCCCCCTTCCCGTGGGACGGATGAGAGGGTGAGGTGGGCTTCCCGGAGGAGGTTGGTTGGAGTCCAGGAGCTGGGAGGGGTGAGGGGT